CGTGCATCCATAACTCAATAGTGCACACTATGGCGTTTACCATTTGTTAATTGGAGAGGACATCCATATGGTACCTTTAAAGTTCCTATGGAGATCACATCCCTCTAGCCCTAACCATCCTTCTCCCCACCCCCCCTCCACCCTCTCCTCCCCTTCCCCCTCCCCCCCTCCCACTCTCTGTCAGGAAAATCAGATATGAAAGTTCTACTTATAGCTTACTGCACAATGTCCTCAGCAGATGACTCAGGATGACTCAGCAATGGCTTCAAGTTTTTAAAAAACAGTCGCCATTTCAAACTCAGGCTATGGTAGTCTCGACGTTTGCACTTTGCGAATAAAAATTACCTTCTCTGTGACTCAACTGAGTACATTTCAGAGTGCCGGTATAGAAAATTTTAGTTTGAGTAATAACGTTTTTTTCTGTCTCTCTGTCCTGCACAGTCACACGTACATTTGGTTCAATTTGCCGCTCATACATAATCATGTACTGTGCATTTTGAAACTTTCCCTTCAACCATTGGTATCCTTGGCTTATCTAAAGGAAATTGTTTCTACCTTTAAATATCGTATAAACCGTCAACCAACTTTTGACAGCTGGGTGAATTAGGTACGGTCCGCGAAAGATATATAGTCGTAATCTACAGCTGAGTTAACGGATAATAATTTGCAATTTCGACGACAAATCTACATTGTTCGTAAGATTGTGCGAAAAAGTCGAATTTTACACAACCTACCTGCTTCAAAGTGGTCTCTGTACTTTTCGCTTCCTTTCCAAGAGCTAAAGGACATGATAAATGCCCTGTAAAAGCCGTGAAAGCGTCCGTGAATTCCTCGAACTTAGATAATGACCCCGCGATATTTGATAACCAGCTGTTTCACCTTACATTGTCTTAGCCGTTATGTTATTTCAACCAGAATGCAACATTTGTTGCCATCGTTCAAGTGGTACCATGACGAAAATCGCATCTCTCCTATCTAAGCCATTTTAAAACATTAACAATAAGTCTTTANCACGAGACTGACTGAACACAAACGAGCCACGAGAAATGGTGATGCCAACAATCACATTGCTGTGTATCATCAACTGACAAACCACAACATTGACTGGGACTCTGCTTAGTACTTAACCTACAGCACAAACTATTTTCAACGACTGACTCTGGAGGCTGGTACACCAACCTAAAACAAACGCTTCTTAACAGATGTCAACAACTACCGGCGCCTTACAAACGACTTATCCGTGACGGAAACGAAACCAACAAACGGACTTCTAACAGACCGACTTAATTTGACTAACAATAGACGGACCAAAATCCGACCAATTTGACTAACAATAGACGGATCGAAACCGACCAATGACTGACGACAAACCTTACACGAGTCTTTCAGCCAATATCATCATGGCTAAACTGACCAATCAAGTTCAACGGACCGAACTTATAACACCATCGACTGACAAACACTATTTACTTCACACTGAAAATGACTTCCGCTCAGGTTGTCGAAACGTCAGTCACCAACAACAGTTCTTCTCAGAACTGGCCTCAGACCCGCACGATCACACTATACGAACCACTGGAAATAATGTATGTATTTTTGCATATCATATTAGGCTGTTGGTTTTACATGAATTAGTAGATGCAATAAGAAGTAACCAAGTTACATTAGTTTCCTTTCTTGGTTTTATACACAGGCAGAAAACTGTTGCTTATAATTGCTTGTCTCGCAATATAAACTTTGACTCGAGAGAATAGCTTTACACAGGTTTCTATTGTTTCTATATTTTTGTTTTGAAAGGTGTTAAAGTGGTACTATGACGAAAATCGCATCTCTCCTATCTAAGCCATTTTAAAACAGAAACTAGTAGCCTGTATGAGAAGAAAAATGCCGTTTACTATTTTCAAATGTCTCTTTTCGTTCCTGAGATATTCAAGTTTTTAAAATATGCAAATTAGCCAAATGATGACGCGATACACTCAACCAAATTTGGATCAAAAATGACGAAGAAAGATATCGCAGCCAATTTGTATCAGAAATGTTTTATTCTTTGCAGTAAGACTCTACTAAATGGGATCCACAATACGAGCTTAACAGTGTTGTTACCATGACAACAGTACTGGGTTCCAGACCTCCCCAATATTAAAGCCTTTTCTGGCCACCTTTGGCGATCCATTTTGATATTTGCTTATGTTGTCTCATATGCACGTTTCAGCAGGCATATAAATATGTTGGCTCGAGTTCGTGGACTCGTTTAATGTTTTTTGAACTGAAAATCACTAACATATTGAAATCAAGTGGGTGGGGACTGGAGAAGGGTGAGTGAGTGAGCTATGGGAACAGAATTTTTTATAGCCGTAGGTGTGTTTCCTGTAGAACTATTAGCCTACCAAGTTTCAATGAATTCTACAGCAAATTGACCAAGATAGCTCTAGTTATACACTTAATATGATATTGGGTCGAGTGTATGACATCATCAGTCATCTCATTTGCATATTCTACACATTTTTCAAACTTAAATATCTCCGGAACTAACGCAGATATTTGAAAACGGTAAATCGCGTTTTTATTCTTTTATGGAATTCTATGTGATACACCTAAAAAATCAAGGGGTAAAAATTTGATCATAGTACCACTTTAAGAGATTTAGGAACTGAGTCTGTTGTAAACGCTGTATTTCAATCAGATCCCACAAAATACGTACGCAATTCTTTCATGTAGGAGTCCCAGTGTTAACTAATAAAGGATATAATGATAATAACAAGGTCGTGTCTTTCTCGTTAAAGAGGTAGCAAAGAATAGGAAGGTAGCCAAAAAGCACAGAATACAGTAGTTACATGATCAAAATTTCCATTACATTGAAAATGTATGTTCTTTTGTCAACGATCAAATCTAGAGGTGGATCTAGAAAATTCAGAACTAGGGGGTTGAAAAATCTCAGCAAGAGCAAAAGCTCTCTTACTTCATATGAATATCCTAAATTATATTCCTGAAGATTGAAAAACAAACAGAATGAAATGGAGAGAAGTACATGATGTCACTTGAATTCGAAACAACCCTATGCATTTTAAGCTTGTTTGGCAAAAGGAGAGGCGTGATGCGAGTCCAGGGTTCGTACTCGTTTCAGCTCTTCAAATACCATGGCTTTCGCGACCTTTTCCATGACCTTAATTTAAGTTGCAACTTTCGAAAATTTTCAAACTATCCTTGCATCTTTTGTTATCTATGGCATTCGTCAAACTGCGTGTAATAAAACTGAATAAAGCTTTCTCTGGTAAAAAATATAAGCTAGCTTTCTTACCAAATGACGCTTTATCCAATTTTATTATATGGCAAGGTAATCTTGAGGCAAATCTAAGCGTTCTGATTGGTTCTTTCTTGTTCGGGATTTTCCCATACGGACGGTCATAAACTGTGTATTTTTGTTTTCGAGAGCCTCAAATTCAAATTTGCAACTAAAACTATGGAAAGAAAACATGTAAATACTCTCATTCTTCGCAAAGAAACTACCTAAAAGACTGATATTTTAAAGAGCTTCCAACATGGACGAGGAAGACGAATATTCACCAAGGGAATTTTATTATCCTTAATATCTGGAAACGTCTGATGTAGAAACTGAAACAGGCATCAGCGAATGTCAGAAGGCTATAGACGATTTTATAAAAAACAGAAAAGTGCAAACACAAACAAGAAGATGGCTACTGATATGAACACTCTTCTCCACTACATGGAAGCTAACGGTATGACAAATATAGAATTGAAAGCTTACCTGTGTCTGAGCTTGCCACCTTTTGTCTAAATTTTTTTTATGAACACACGCGGGAAAAATGGAGAAGAGTACGAGATAGCAACAATTTCTAGTTTTTAGCCCAGTATACAACGATACTTCACTGAGAAGAAATATCCATTCAACATACCCACGGACAATGAGCTTGGAAAATCAAGAAGCGTACCAGCTGCGAAGCGCAAGTCACTCATTCACGAGCCGGGCAAAGGAAACAAGCCGCAAGCCGCTCAAGCGGTTGACAAAAACCAAGATGCTTTTTTTTTTAGCGGGAGAATTCTGCGACTCCAACCCAGTTGCACTTCAAAGAATTGTGTGGTGGTTTTTATCCCTACACTTTGGTTTTCCGAGCAAGAGATGAAAGCCGTAAGTTACGCTGGGAAGACGTTCAGCTTCAACAGCAGAATGACGGCCAAGAAATCTTCGTTTGGTTAGCCGAGCGAGGTACGAAGACCCGACACGGTTAGGAACAAGGACACCAAAGAGAATTCCAACCTAAGCTTTATGCCACCAATACGGAGAGATGTCCAGTCAGCTTCTACAAGAAATTCCGCAGTCATCGGCCACTGGAGATGAATGCACCAGAATCACTGTTTTACTTGGCGGTTCGGCATAGTCGACGCTCAAATGGCGAGGTTTGGTATATGAAGTCACCACTCGGTAAAAATGAAATCGGAAAGTTTCTGTCTACTGCAGTGTAGAATGCTGGCCTTCAGCAAGAAGAAAAAAGAGTAACCAATCATTCCGTCAGGAAAACCTGTATTTCAAGGCTTCTCGATGCAGATGTTCGGGATAACTTTGTAGCCCAACTGAGTGGCCACAAAAGCACGGAGAGTTTGCGATCTTACAAGTCAGCAAGTTCGAAACACCAAAGGAGAATGTCCTTGACCCTCGGCAGAGTTGACCGTTATGGATTCGGAAATGAACCTATCTCAAGTTGGCATAATCAAGATCTTCAAGTAGCCACTTGCTCGACTACAGAAATCGTCACAAGCACGACCGAAAATTCATTGATTGATCACTTTAACGATCCTTTACTGTCCGTGATTAACAATTAAATTCCATGACTTTCCAGGTTTTCAATAACCCGTACGAGCCCTCAAGTGGGCAAAATCTTATATGTTGTACTCTTTGGTTGTGACTCATACAAGTCAAAACTACATTTCACAACTTAGTCCCAAGTGGAGGTTAGATGCCTAGCTAGGGAAAACACATCCAACACACGCCCTGTAACCCCAGCCCCATGACGTTAGACCGGCCACAGGGTAGGCAGTGCCTGCATCTCAGCCACAAAACCCCCACCAGGCCGATTAGATCTCTGAGTTAAATAACTCAGAGCAAAGAGTCGCTTAGCTCAACGGCCACAACCCACACGCAAAATTCCAGAGCACTTAACCCCGTCCAACAGCAACCATACCTGCTACAGTAACTGCTTGGAAACATGCACCACAGCACTAAATGGAATCCGGATGTAATTCTTTTGTGCATCACTAGACCAACGATCCAACGTTTTCAGGAGGTTATTGGGTACTCCACGCCAGGCACTAGTAGTAGCAGCTCTAATCAGGAAAGTGTGGTTAGGGTAAGAGCCTGAAAAACCTGCCGAGTACAAGATTGACTGCACAACTTAAGACAGCCGCTTACGAGACAGTTGGCTACCATCCTTAAACCGAAACAAGGGCCCATTCTCTGAGCCGCGAACACGTCGGTAATTGCCAATAGCCCGCGAAGGGCAAATGTAGGAGTCGCCTTGCCCCAAGTAAATGTGGAGCCTGGTGAAGAACCGTTATCAGTTCCATTGTAATTGGGGGACTAGCTGGACTGGAGGAGCCCTGGACTCGTTTTATGCCCCGAAGCAGACGTTGTAAATGAATACAGTTCGCCAATGGGTCTGGCAAACCAGTGTAAATATGAAGAGAGCGCATCGCAGATTAGCACTCTAATAAGCAACTCTGATCGAAGAATGTTTCAGATTATCAGCCAGCATAGTGCAAAATTGCATCAGAGTTTGCTCATCAGCTGGAAGGGGAGGCCATCAGTAGCAGTACGACCATTCCATCTGAAAAAGGTAATGGATCTTCGTTGGGTAGACATGTAAACCCGACTAGTCGAGAGTGCCAGGCCCTGGATGAGGAAAAATTTGAATCTCTGTGTCAACCTACCGGAAGGCTGGCCAGCAGGTACTGGGGGACTACTGTCGCTTCTTGGTCGGTATGTGGAACCAGCTACTTGACACGCTGAAATTGAGAACGGGAGAGGGTGTAGACTACTGGGTTAGCTTTGCCCTAGACAGAGGAAGAGGTCCTTACGTTAGGGTCCTTAGAAGGGACCGATTAAAGGATCGCCAAGATCCCTATCATTATCATCAACGCGCTTAGTGACCCAGAGAGGAACTCACAGATATGCCACCACGACCACAGGCAACAGCCCCCTGTAGGTAATAGACAAATGGGCCTGCGAAGCTAACCAAGATCCCAAAAACAAATGGCCCCGAAAGAAAGACCCATAGCCTAAGGTTCCTGCTGCATCGGATGAAACCTGGAAGCCAGGTAGGGGAACCCACGCCCGTGTCAGAAAGCAACTGAGGCCCCTCCAGGATTGTAAAAGCTCTTACCACCACGCCAGGTCCAACTCAATATCTTAATTCAACCAGATTGGATGATCGTTCCGTCGGAATGTACATAAGAGATAAATTATCCGATGCAGAACTGTACGACCTTGGGGAGCAATTTTGCATCCATGGTGCAGATGAAAGATTCAAGTTCTTTTCTTTATCAAAAACGTTTCGACGACCGCGAGTCCAGCAAAGCAATAATGCCCTTCCGTTTTCCTGAGGGAAGCCGTGTTTGAAACCTTATTGAGTCAAGTTCAATGCCAAGAACTGCAAGGGAAGTACACGGCCATTCTATCTTATCAGGATGGAATGTGAAGCCCAAATCGGAACAAAGCTGTAGACACTTGAGTAGATTTTCCCCGCAAACTAAAGACTCTAGAGGTTCCAGCGGTGAAGAAGGAAGTCGACTCCATGATAATTAGTCAAGGTGATCCACTCTACCATATCTGCAATTGTAGTAAAAATAAAAGAGGCAGATCGTAGCCCAAAGCTAAGGGTAGAACCATGTAAGCGTAATACGAGTCGTTCCACTTTATGCCAAAGAGATAACGGTCTTTGGTATGGACTGCCACATTCCGATATGCAGAGGCCACGTCAAATTTGGCCATCAAAGTACCCCTGCCTTTCTCTTCAATTCGACAGCGAGATGGAAAACGTGCTGAGTTCTTACGCTTTTCATGGGAACTCCATCGTCATTGACGCTGGCAGGTGCTGTTGTTCCATTGGTTTCCTGTACCATAAGGTGAAATAGTCTCCTGGTGTGGCACGAGTTGTTTACGAACCTTTACGAGCTAAAATCTCGCATTTAATTCTGGGAGCGAATTTAGAGGATGTGCAGATTTGACGGATTTTCATAAAATTTTGTTAAAACATTCCAACCGGATAATGAAAATCTGGTGTTTTTCGAAACATATATTTCCCTTTGGCGTCCACTAACGCAACACATAAGCTGAATACACTTTTTTTCTTTGATGCTTTGTGAATAAGACAGTGCAGCCATTTTGCCCCTATTGCAGCATCCGATAACTGATAAATTCAACACAACGCTTACCGGCTCCTGAACCTTCCTAAAATAAAACGTCGCTTAAATTGTATTGTGATCGTGAACTTCATTTATTAACCTTTCCTTTAATATATGGTTTGTTAGGGTTGTATTGAAACTGGCTCGTGTACGAATTTTTTCCCCCAGGGACACCCGCGAAGGTGGGAAGTAATATATCAAACACGAGAGACACTGTTTAATCGGGGCATCCAAACACCAATAAGAGAGTTGAAGATACGACGCGCAGCGGAGTATTTTTGACGAAATTAGAGATGTTTGGATAGCTGATGAGACACTCTATCGAGTGTTTGATATATCTTCTCAATCGAAACAAAAACTAAGGAGTAGACGGAAAAGTAAAATCGTNTATCGAGTGTTTGATATATCTTCTCAATCGAAACCAAAACTAAGGAGTAGACGGAAAAGTAAATCGTCAAAATCTACGCCAATTAAGACCGGGTATATAAACCTTCTTCACGGTTGTGATTTTCTTTGTTTGAACTTGATGGATTATTAATGAGTTTGAGAAGTTTTTGGCCATGACTCGCGCATAGATAGAAAACAAACGTTGACCAAACATTGAACGAAAGAGATTGACGCATCCTGGGCACAACGGGATGCAAGATACTATGCTACCGCAAATGGATATATCTGTCATCTTGACCTTAGTAACTGACCTAAACCATGCCTGATCACAGGGTAAATCGAGCTTTTACCTTAGTTAACTTTCTTTTGTCTCGGGCGGCGTTAATAATTTACCGCAAAATAAACACACCACAACGCTTTCCAGTTAAATTTCCTCCATGTTTATACTGCTGATACCTGTAAATCAGCTAAAAAAGCTAGGCAGTCAATAGTACACTCGATCCAGGATTGTCAGGATTAACCTCTTGGTCCCCGCGCTCATGGTTTCCACGTGTCTCACGAAGGCTGGACTTCGAGCGCACCGTGGCAGAGGTCAAGTTACTTGTCAAGTTATGTATTTATGATAACAGCTGGCAGTTGAAGCATATTGAAGAAAACTAGACAGTGTTGGTTACAAATTTTAAAAACACTATGGTTCGTGCTTGTCATAAATTAGCGCGGATTAACGAAGTTTGCAAGCTAAATGTAGAAACTACAGCACCGCAAATAACTTTATTTCACCGAGCACCGTAGCGTAAAAAACACAAAGATCGCACACCAAAGGGTTTGAGATCACCGCAACACCGCAAGTTGGGATGTTATTCACCAAAATCGTCCTCGAAGTAATGATAAGGAGTCCTTGGCTTTGACGAAATTGATGTGACAGCCGATACTGAACCAGTATAGTTCAACTGGTGTTCCCATACTCACGGCCCATATCGATCTTTATCCAACAATGACTCTTTCAGTTTGTGATGCAACCCGAACTGATAGTTCAAGCTGAATACTGAAATACTGGCTTTTGAGATACTTGTGAAACACTTGTGAGATACTGGCTTGTGAAGCTTGTGTGGTGCAACCCACAACGAATTTCAAGCCAACGAATGTGGGCTTCCGAAAGCGTATTAGCTTCGGTGCAAAGTGCACAAGCCGAGCCCTGACATGTTGGCTTGCGTGAGCAAAACAACGCCTGAATCACCCAGAAAACTTGCTCGGCAACACCTAAACGAAATAACCAAGACTAAACACGAGGCAAATCGTAAGCTTTTTCTCGAGGACAGTGCAGTTAATTTCCAATAACAAAGCAGCACGACACAGCCATTGAAAAATGGAAACTAACTAACCTTGAAAACTGCAATCAAATCCAGACAAAAAGCGGGCCAAAGAATCGATAAGAAGTTCTCTGACAACGCAATATGACTACAGCTAGCAACGAGTACGCACAACAAATGTAGCAATGACCGCCTTTACTCGAAAACAATCGCGTAAAATGCTAGACTACTCATGCCCATAAAGATCTATCATGTGAAATTACGAAGTTACTCGCCTATAAAGTACATTATAGGCTCACCTTTTCATCCAGATCTTCGATCTTTTCGGCCATGCTGTCATGCTTTCTCTAATTCACGTGACTTACGATTTATCACCTGGGAGGGGGAATTTCACACTTAAATATCTCGGGAACTAATGCAGATATTTGAAAACGGTGAACGGCGTTTTTATTCTTTCACGGAACTCTATGTGATACACCTGAAAAGTCAAGGGGTAAAACCTTGATCATAGCACCACTTTCAGTCTGTCTGTCTGTTTGTTTGTTTGTTTGTTTGTTTGTTTGTTTTGTGGTTTTCTAACTTAGTGACTTTACTTTAGCTGATTCAGGAATAAGATTTTCGTACTTTATCTTATCACGTGGCTACATGATGATTGAGTAGCACTGAATCGCTTTGATGAACCTAATATAACAGCCATTTTATTGTACCCCATATACAGTGTCGCTTCGTCCGGTTAATTGTATAACTTGCAGGTGTGTCTTTTGTTCGTTATACAAGAACACCTCCCGTTTCATTTAGGAAACTTTTGGTGGGTGTATCGGATGCTTCGATCGGCCAAAAGAGAAACTCAACTGAAACTATACCATATCTGTTTTATTACCAAAACTCGGAAATCCACCAGGAAGAACTCAGAAAACTTCATCATTAATATTTTCAAAACGCTCAGACTTAGAGGGTCGTGTTTCGACCTTTTTCTTCTGACAATTCACACTAACCTTCTGTACTTAGACCTGACGAGTGCGTTCCTCTACTCGTAAAACCTTAAATAACACATCCCACATTGCCCAGTGGGCAATTTTCCCATAGTAATCGGAAATGATGACAAAAGTTCAACCCTCCAAGTTCCTGTGCATTGCAACATGAATTGAAATGGCTCTTTTCATCGTGATGACTTCAACCCTTTTGTAGCCAAAACTGACAAGGTTAACGTCGAGATAACAACTTCTGGTCTAAAAATTTTGGTTAACCCATTTGTGACCGTTGTCCGGGTCAGGTCTGTAAGTCGTCTGAAATAGTTTCATATTTTTGCCAAAATTGAAGTGTCAGCTCACACTGCAAACAATCAGTCTTTATGTTTCTGTTTACTGACCAAGCCAGTCTAAGTTTTGTTGGACGCGATTCACGAATGATTCTTCACCTCCAGGTATTGAATTGTTCATCAGAAAATCTGAGAAGGCGGACCATCATGTACTGGAGTATAAAAACGGAAAACTTAAAGTCTGTAAAATTATTTGTCGAGTAAAAGGTGTTTACACCCTTAAGTCCTGCCTTATTTTTATTCACATGGTTTTTTGCCAATCGTTATTATAACACCTTCTTAACTCAATCCTCCAGTGCCGATCGGATCACAGGGGGAAGTAACAAGCTTCAGGCTAAATTGGAAAGATGCCTTCGATCAGTTCGCGACCTCAAAGGGCCGTCAGTTGCCATTGGTGCAAATTGTTTTGCTGGATCAGTTACCAAAAGTAAACAATTTTGCTTGATCGTTCGGCTGACGAGATATTTTGCATTTTCGATTAATTTGTCTATCTTACTACACCTGATACAGTTCTATGCCCTATTCAGAGCTATGTAGAGGTCTTAATTGCAATTACATGATTCCTTTCTCATACGATTTTATATTTCATTCAAAATCACTGATGACCTTCCCCACCTCCCTTCACCGCGTGGAACAGTCTTTTTCAGTCAGATTTCGTTTCGCACAAAAACCTCTTTATTCGTCTACCCGCACTGTGAACAGATTTTCATAAATATTGGTCGAGCAGAGCGTAGTGAAAGAAAAGGATTATCTTACGGCATCAGAATAGAAATTAATGTCTCACCGCAAAACCGATTTGAATCCCCTCTAGCCATTGTTGTGGTCAGTTGTCGGGTTTCCGCAAGAAATTAATTTGAAGCGAGTGAGTATTTGAGTCTAAACACAGGCCAAAATTTACTCGTTTGGAATTCAAGATGAAATACACGTTCTTTCCTAATTGAATAAACAAACGTAATCTTTTCAGTTTGCTCAAGCACCGGTGACGGAGATTCTTGAATGTTTGACAATAGCTTTGTTGAATTCTGTGCTTCAAGCGTGCCGTATGTAGTCAAACAGTCTGGCTTCATTTCAGAAAACCATTATTCATGATCTTTAGCGCATTCCTTCAGTCGCTCGGCTATCGCTGGCAATATCGGAAACTTTTGCTCAGTTGTATTTGTTAAGAAATCTTTATGACTGCGTTTTAATTGCTTTAGGAAAAGTGCTCGTACTCAACAGCTAACGAGCGACTGCCCATCAAGAGTCCAATGGTTAAAAGAAGAAAGAATGGGACAACTTCGAGCGTTAAAAATGTTCAGGTTGCCGTGTTGGGGAAAGATGGAGTAGGGAAATCAGGTAAGCCAATTGAATTCAGCACGTGCGAACAGTTTACACTGGGTTCTCGAGTAGCACATCAAAAACAAAGTCGCACTCTCCATAAAATCACTGATAGCGGTAGCTTTTATTTTAAAACCACAAGAACTTCACGCACTGAACTAAATATACATAACGGAAACGGCTAATATCTTAAAATGTAGCCACATGATATGGCATCAGGTGAGGCACAAGTCTGAGAAACGAAGCAGAACTTTAAAACAAACAACGCTCTTAAGCTTCGGTGTAAATGCTGTAAATGTGACGCCTTGTTTTGTACAAGAAACCCTGCATTGGTAACGTTAATTAAAAATCTCCTACTCGTCGCTGAGGAGACGTGGAAGAATTTTCGGGACAATTGTTTTCTTTTTAAGCCGAACAGTGAGCGTCACTGGCTATCCTGTTGTGTAGAGCATTAACCGGACTTAGCTGGAGGAAGTCAGTTGTGGCGGCGACACAGGTCGAGCTATTTAATTTAAAATTTTTTCAAAACAACAGTCTAGGCCTCGGGTCTAGCTCTGTGTTATCATATGAGAAAAATTTTGTTTTCAGAAAACACGCGGGGTCACACAAGCTATTTTAACGCATTTCTGGAGCAAATTTTCAAATTCGTTGAGTGACTGGACAACAGTTTACCAGTTTACGTGTTTCTAAATTCACAACGATTGCGTTTCTATCTAAATTAAACGGTTGGTAAGAGATTATGTGTATTTTTGCGAGAACAAAATCGACCACACTGGAATTAAGTAAGAATTCATCAGTTTAGTGTCGTAAATTTAGAAAGGTCTGACTATCACATCCGAACTGCTATCAAAAGCCCACTGTTCCAATGCCAGTGTCGGAATGGTAGAATAAAGACGTTTTTAACTACTGTTTGCCCAAAACATGTGTTTCACAGATTACAGTAAACAATATCAACATCTTTTAAATGACCCACCGAAAGCGAAACTGTATANGGCGACACAGGTCGAGCTATTTAATTTAAAATTTTTTCAAAACAACAGTCTAGGCCTCGGGTCTAGCTCTATGTTATCATTTGAGAAAAATTTTGTTTTCAGAAAGCACGCGGGGTCACAAAGTTATTTCAACGCATTTCTGGAGCAAATTTTCAAATTCGTTGAGTGACTGGACAACGGTTTACCAGTTTACGTGTTTCTAAATTCACAACGATTGTGTTTCTATTTAAATGAAACAGTTGGTAAGAGATTATGTGTATTTTTGCTAGAACAAAATTGACCACACTGGAATTAAGTAAGAATTCATCAGTTTAGTGTCGTAAATTTGGAAAGGTCTGACTACCACATCCGAACTGCTATCAAAAGCCCACTGTTCCAATGTGTCGGAATGGTAGAATAAAGACGTTTTTAACTACTGTTTGCCCAAAACATGTGTTTCACAGATTACAGTAAACAATATCAAGATCTTTTAAATGACCCACCGACAGCGAAACTGTATATTGTTTCTGCAAAGAGCGACTAGCGTAGGCTACAAGCCAGTAAATAAAATTAGCCACATTCAAATCGAAAACTACATGGTTAACTAAAGAAAACAGCCGGTGAAGATTACCGTTAATTGTTTTGTCGATTTTTAAAGTTTTTATTCGCTTGTTTGTGATCATCTTCTCAACCTTTCGACTTCAACACGATATATTTCCCTTGTTTGACAGTTGATACATAAGCCCAACATGAAACAAATGTAATTTATCGATATATTATAATCAAGAACAAATGTCATTGTTGGCCTTCACCGAACCGAAACTTTAACTTGATTGTATTTTCTAGTATTTCGGACGCCCGCCAAGACGATTAAAACAGTCACGAACTAGGATATTTATCAGCAGAAAATGCATCTGCTAACACTGCTTGAAAAAAATTCATCCTAAGTTACATGTACATCATAAACTCACGAATCGAGGAAACGAATACAAAGAAACCCCAAATTAAACGACTGAAGGAAAAAGCCCGGATTTAAAGTCGAATTGATCTATCTGTCTTTAGATACCCGGACTAAGCACAAGAACACAGTCTTGCCCTTTCGGTACCAAAATTAAGAGGGCGATTGTCTCTCTTAAAACCGTCCAANAAATGTCATTGTTGGCCTTCACCGAACCGAAACTTTAACTTGATTGTATTTTCTAGTATTTCGGACGCCCACCAAGACGATTAACACAGTCACGAACTAGAGTATTTATCAGCACAAAATGTGTCTGCTAATACCGCTTGAAAAAAATTCATCCTAAGTTACATGTACATCATTAACTCACGAATCGAGGAAACGAATACACAGAAACCCCAAATTAAACTACTGTAGGAAAAAGTCCGGATTTAAAGTCGAATTGATCTATCTGTCTTTACCCGAGCTAAGCACACGAACACAGTCTTGCCCTTTCGGCAACAAAATTGCAAGGGCGATTGTCTCTCTTATACCGTCCAAATTATGCTGAACTTATCGCGCAAAACTTCGTTATCTCCATTTGTCTTTTTCCGACAAGCCCCTAAGCCGAAATTTCGTGTTCGAAGTTACACACGTAGATGTTTTGCAGCCAACTTAAATTTTAGACAGCTTGTATTAAAGTTTTTTTTTTTTTTTGAATATATTTTAGCGTTTACTGTTCGAGCATTAACACGACGTTTTATTGGAGAATACGACACCACGTTAGGTAAGTTGATATAATAATTAATTGATTTAGCAGCCACTGTGTAAATTAACGACTGAGTATACGATAAACTGAGCCAGACGAGATAAGCTCTTAGTATTATCAGAAAATTATTTCCTGGATAAAGGTTAATCATGAAAGCCATCTTAATGTAGCATTGGAGACCTGTTGACTGTCAGTGTTTATTTTTCAGGGATTCCAAGAGCTTTTTTTGTCCAAATTTATTTTCAATGAAAACAGCAACAGGGGGTTGATAAACCATTTAATAGTGGAAAAAACCACCGGATGTTAAGTGTGGTCAGTTTAGAAAAGAGAACTCTTGTAATAACTTAGGTACGGTGTAATCGTACAGGTCCAGACATGTACTCCAGGAAAACACCGGTCAGTTTAGCCTATTCATTCCCAGTTTTGAAAAAAGAAAAGCAATTCCATCTTCTTATCCCTGCACGTTTTCCCTGATGTAAACACGGGGAATTTGGAGTTACATCAAAGAGAGGTTCTTCCATTCAGGTTTAATTTGACCTTGTTCGTGTTATTACGTAACTACTTGTCAAGTGCAAAACACTGAGATTTGTCAGAGACTCACTAGAACAAAAAAATGCTTGCAGTGCATCGCGTATTCCCAACAGGATAGCCTGGCTGAGACTTTCCTCATGATCAGCTGAGTTTGTAGTTATTCCTGGGAATTTAGTTTACCTCCTGCCAAACTAGTCCAGCATTTTTCGTCCATTAGGAAGTCAGTCAAAACTCAGGTTAAAAATACAGTGGTGAATAAAATCAAGCCAACTTCCACTGGTAATAGATATTAGTAAGAAATTCAGTACCTTAAACACTAGATTAAGCGCGATTGAAAACGCACTGCGGTCATGAGATACGATTCCATATTGCATTTGTTAGTGCAAAAAGCACTCGACAAACCGGTAAAAGGTCGAACAAGACGATTTCCGTTGACAAAACAAAAAAGTTATAGGGTTTCACGGGTTAATCTGGCGAATCTTGTGTGAAT